ATTTTTAGTTTTTAAAAAAAAAATCAAGTATTTTTAGTTTTTTTACATAGCTTAGAAAAATCTGATGTTGCCGACAAAAACAGTAAAAATTTTGCAATTGCAGTTTCATACAACTTTAAAAAGGTTTGAAAAACAATGATGATTGCTAAGTAGACTATGAAAGATGATCATAATGATAACATTTTTATCTCTCAAACATCATACTTGAGTTTAGAAAAAAAATTTGTATTTAAGTCTTTTGAATCAAATATCAAATCGTTGATATGAAATATTGATTGCTTTGCTCCAAAGCTTGAAAGAGAGTGAAGAAAGATTCATTGATTTTAGAAATTTGTATGCATTTTTAAAAAGTAGTTATTATTGTGAACTTAAAAATAAAATGCAAGAAATCAAACTTGCCTCAAATGATAATCCATGACATGTTCAAATAAATAAAGAAAATTTCTTTTTTATTTAATAAAATCGATGTAATATATCAATAAAGCACATAATTGATCCATATATGTCAAAAAAAATTAAGGAAAAAATATATATCTTTATTTATTTCTTAATATTAAATATGATTAACTTTAAAGGGTTATTTAAAAAAAAATTCATATTGAAGACAACTCGTATTTCAGCTCATAATATTTTCATTCTACATATGAAACATACATACATATTTTGTCTCAACACACATTTTTTTGTTCATTCTGAGTACATGAAGGTGATGTGCCAAGTAAGATATTCAAAAAAAATTTTGATACTCTTTTATCCTTACTTATTACATCATTATGTGAGATTTAATTTTGATATTAATTTACATGGCATGAAATGATTCATTATATCAATCAAAAATAATCTAACAAAGCTCTTTTGCCAAATTTCCAATATAAGAAATGATAGTTTTCTTAGAATCATAGTTCTTTTTCCTAGCCTCTTGCAAATCAAATTATGATGTATTAGCATTGGATGCAGATTGTATTATGTGTCAAATAACTTGGTGCATTATTTTTGCTTGCTACATATATTGGATGTCAAGAAGATTCAGAAAGTCCTCAAAATTGGCAACGAGTGAAGAAACACAAAGGCTTGTAATTTTATGAAAAAAATAATCCCACAATTTTGACCACAAATCTTTTTCTGGCAGAAAATTTAGTGTAGGTACATGGTGATGTTACTTCTGGGACAACTGAAATGCTCAAGTTGTAAATAAAATGATTGGAATATATAGTTACTTTCAATAGGTCCTAACTCAGGAAAAACTGAAATCATCCACTTGGTGTACATACCGAGAACAAGAGTAATTTTCTCAGAGCAATATATTTTAGGTTGTTATATTAGAGACATCCTTGTCCCCGTTCTAGTGTTCTAGGCACTAGCTAGGAGAATTTGTTTCTCAGCCTTTTAACCCTTTGGGTCCTATTGCTATCTAGGCACTAGCTAGGAGAATTTGTTTAGGTTCTTTTCCGTGAATGTTTTAACTTTTAATGTGTTTCTCAACCTTTTGACCCTTCGGGTCCTACTGCGTTCACCTATTTATCATTTACCATATCTCACGGTGTAGATGTTGTGCTGTCTTGTCTTCACAATAGTAGCAGTGCATGGTTGCTAAAAGACGAGTTACTTAACAATACAATGAATGAACAAGAAGTGAAGTCTTTCTCCAAGAAGAGAAGCGCTATACTTAATCCATAGTTATCTCTATAAAGTTCCACCTCTATGAAGTCTGAGAGTAGCTTTCTAACATTAACCAAACTACAAAAACAAATTGTAAAATATTTGGATATTTCTCATAGCAATTCGTCTCCAAAGTCAAAAATAAAATCATAAAACTCTACATTTTTCTATAAAACTTTTGGTAGCATAATATATGATGATTGTACTAACTTGTTATTGGGCATATTATTCAAATTTATGTAAATAAATATATAAAACATGAAGGAACTTTAATGGAAAGACTGCTATGCAAGTTTCATGGACTGATTAGCTACTTGGCATTGTTTCAATCTCTCATCATTTTTACATCAAAATTTGATAAAAATCACTGCATAAAGAAAGATATAAACATGTCGTCCACATGATTTTATACATAATCATCACGCCATTGAAAAATATTGACATTAGGGCCTTACAAGAAATCAGGACTTAGTTTATAATGTAAAAAACTCTTTTTTAAGTCACTTTTAGTACATTCATGAGTGCTTGAAATTTTTTTGGAATCATATCTTGAAAAAAATATCAGTTTGCACAACTCAGGTACTTATTATACTCTGGTTTGCAAATAAGTGGAAAGACATTGGAAAGAAGCCGCTGATGTTATTAATTTACAAATTTTTTTATAAAATATACGGATGAAGAAAAACAGATATTATCTGGACAAGCTATAAAGAGCAATATGAATTATCATCTTCAGGAGTCAAATTACAATGTACTCAGAAATTTAAATATTTTTATGGACGGTTGAAAAAGTAATCAAATAATCAACTTCTACAAATAGTTTGCCATTGGATACTCCATGCATGAAAACTGTTATTCTTCAAAACAGACATATCATTTCGTTGCAATGTCACTTGATCAGTTTCACCGCTGGTTGTAACCTATACCCGCTCCCGTTATCATCTGTACTATAAGCATCGCTTGCCTAACGTGGATCGAGGTTCACACACTGCAATGCTTGCAATATCTTCGTTCTGTGTCTCCTCCTAAAATTATTGAAAGAATTAGTGTTAAACTTTAATATTGCTGTAAACTTAATAGGTTTTAGTGCAGAGAGAGAGAGAGTTTGCTTTCGCAAAGAGAATATTCATACTCGAAGTATGTGACTGAAGATTAATATATATCGAGCTTACAGATCGAACATTCTCGGCGTCTCATTGTATGTTCATATACTAGTTATCTCTCACTCTACTATAGAGTGCTTGGTCGATACAGTGTTATAGGGTTCGTGGGATGAGTTTACTTCTTCTAAAATAGGTGTTCGACTGAATAGAGAAAAGTGAACAGTAGGGTGAGGGCTAATTATCCCTGTAAGTGAGGGATAACTAGCCCCTCCCCTTGCTAATTATCAGATTACCTTGTATTTTTTGGAACAGTGCGTACGTTTCGTATAATCTAGTCTCAAGACTAAGATAGAACCACTTTGGCAAAAAAGCTTATTAGACGCGGACCGACCATTCCTTTCAGTGCATTGAACTCTGATCACTTACCACAGAGGAAGAGCATGCATGCACTTTGCGACTCAAGTATAGTAGATGTTATATGACATCTATTGTGAGAAAGAGGTGTTCAATATTATACAATAGACATTGCTGGATTTCACGATTTAATGCTCAAGAATGTCTTTGTTAATCGTTCTCTCTGATATGGCTTAGTAATCTTAAACAAATATATACGATGTGAAAACTGGTTTCCGGAAAATATCTTAAAACCTTTGGCGTACTGCCAACATAAGCATTTCGAAAGATGGCCACTATTGTTCTCAATGACATTGTCGCCAACAAATAATCGTAATGAAGTTTCATCTCAAAGTACAGTTTCGCAGACTAATGATCGCTTTCCAGATACTGTATATTGAAAAAATCTAACAACGTTTAATTGACTCGAATATCCTTCGTTACAGCCAGTGCGTATGAAAACGATATACTGGAATGCAAATCCATATGTGATATCCGAACGTGATGAAGTCCAGAAAGAAAATAAAAACGCAATGTGAAACTTTAGTCATTAAGTATTTGTCAAAGTTCAACCTAAGTTGTGGTTAAATTACAATTGACTGGCAGCAAATATAAGTCCCAGATCAATCTAAAATTTGGAAAGCTATTGAATTATTTCAGTCTGCCAGAATTAGGGCTCCGATCGGTTTCGGGAAAAACCCGAGTTTGGGTCAGGTCGGGTTCGGGTAGAGCGCTGTACCCGACCCGGAAATCAATAAAGCAACGACGGGTAGAGGGCTGTACCCGAAAACTCGAAAATCAATAAAGCCCAGCTCGTCCCTCGTCGTCTGCATCGGGTTCCGCTCCGTCTCGCGAAACTCTGCTCTTGTCTGCAACTCCTCCTCCTCGTCCCGTTGCTGCGCACCTCGCTCGAGGCGGTGTAATCACCCGCTCCCTTACTCGCTCGCTTCGGCGTCTAATGCTTCCGCGCTGCGCTACCTATGCTGCTCGTACTGCCTACTCAAAATGCAGCTCCTATTTCCCGATTCTCCCTCGCCGTCCTCTCACGGTCATGGATCCGCCGACCGATTTGGGATCGACCCGAATCTGACCTGCTTGTTCGGTTCGGGATGAAGGTTACCCCCGACCCAAACCCGACCCGATCGGAGCACTAGCCAAAATTATGTTGACACAGTTCTTCATTCCGAGCGTATGTTGTTGCGCAATTTGCCGACGTTTGCTCCCTTGTGGCCATCATAAGCAACGAGCAACTATCTTTAATATCGTTAAATGTTCAAGTTAAATGATTGAAGGAACAATCGGAATAGATGTTTACATCAACATACTTCTCAGACTCAATCGTTTTTCGATACTAATTACACTGGCTTGTAAACGCTGCAAGTGAATTATAATTTAACTACCACTAATCGCAGTTACGACGAACTTTGAAATCACGGGCAATTGCAGATTGAGCGCCAGATGTTGGTTGAATCTCACATCAGGACTAGGAGGATATCGCAAATCTAAAGTCGAATGTTTAGGACTGCGTAACGCGTGGGAGGACTCGAGTGCGGGGAAGCATGTGGTTGACATGATCAACAGTGCTCCTCTATTCCAAATGTTGAGATTACGCGGCAGTTTAAAAATGGACGATAAGGCCGTCGGAATTCTGTCCCAGGCTTTGATCCAGATCTCGTCTTTGAAAGAATTGGAGTTAGATTATGTGGAGTGAGGAGCGGCCGATCCATTGAAAGTCTTCATCTGCGGGGTTTGGATAGACTCGGAGACTGTTTAAGACAACTTCTTACTTCCCGATGCGTCCTGAGGAATGGATCCAGCTAGGCGAAGTAATACGCGACAATTGAGCAACAAGCATTAGAGTTGAGTTTGGTGATGAAGGAGATGTTAGAGATAAATGGGAGTCAATAGAAGCTCTTGCATGTGCTGCTAGCTCCGATGTCAAGGACCCCACAGAGGAGTTTGTACTCTCACACTTTCGAGTGACCAAGATTAATGGTTATCCCGGTTATGTAGGGTACTGCGCGGGGAAATTAAATCTCTAGAATCTTTCAGTATATCGATCAGTACATTGCTCCCTTTAAGGATCATAGATCGGAATGTATCCCGTCGATGAATGGAAAAACGGGAGAAACTTCAGTCCTGACGAGACTGAAATTATCTGTTTACGACAAAGATGTTTGGAAGGGAGTATGGAAGAACCTGGTTCAATCGATACTCAAACCTTGTAGCGAGGTAGTGAACTCTGCAAACTATGCGGTCAAGGTTGCATCGACTCCAGCGTCTGATATGCTCTGGACCGATCAGATCTTGTGGCAGAGTCGATCCTCGACTTCATATGAAGCAGAGCAGTCCGTGACTTGTAGACTCGAGGGTTCCGACTTTCTTAACATGCTCGTTTCTCGAGGATACCTTGAGGATGATATGGTTGTCCGCTGATGATAGCAATCTGTCGATGGCGGGCGTGATGCCTTTAGAGACCAGCGAAACTCTCCGATAAGCATTCACTTACTGCCCTGCCCTGCCCTCCGATCCTGCAGTGGCACAGTGGCAATTACAAGGCAAACGATTGAAACCAGCTTTGAAATCACAGAAGCACGGCCATTATAAGCAACGAGCCACTAACTCTAATATCGTTGAACATTCCATGTTCAACGATATTAGAACTGTCGTCGGAATGAAGGTTTACATCAAAGTTGTTCTGAATCGCTGCAAGTTAATTATAAGTCAACCAAAGCTAACCAAAAGATATCCTCTATCATGTATGATACATTTGAAGGCAACTCCTCTTGCTATGAGGACTAAAATCCAATCTGATAAGTCAAGACGCAGTCTTGCCTAACAGGGAAAGTTCGACCAGGGCGCCTCCCGCTTCCCCGTCGGTTGCAGTAGCCAGGGTAGGAAGAGAAATCAAACAAGGGTAATCCCTTGACTCTGAGGCCACACTTTCGTGCTAACTCCGCAATGTTCCACCTGTTGTATGGATCGTAATTCTGAATTGTTACGTGAATCTCGCCATCACTTCGAATCATCGTCGATGCATTCCGCAGGAAACGGAGAATCAGATCCTGATGCCTGCTGCACATTATGAGTTTGACAGCTAATAAGTTTCCGGACTTGCATGGGAGTTTGTCCAATGACAAGGATTTTCGCTTTAAAGCCAATAATCCCGATATCTATTGACTCACCTCTGTCAATTTGCAAGTGCGTCTGTCACAAAGATGTCTACTCTGTTCACTCTGCATGGACGGGAGCAGACGTAGCCAATTACGTCAAGCAGACACGAAGACGAGACACGCATTTTCTTACAATATGACGCTCTTAACCCATTCGGGTTTTTTGAAGTATCCTGCGTGAGGGAAGTTGAAAATGACACGGTCGAAACGCTGCGTGTTGCTGAAAATGTTCCTCGTTGCGTCAAAGTCATAATAAATCTTAGCTCCGCAGTTCTTTAAGTTGGATACGGCTTTGATAGACTGTGCATACTTCGCACGAACAAGCCCTGTTCAAAATAACAGCCAATGCTTTAGTGATGTGACCACAAGCAGTGCATTTCAAAGTTTCATACCATCCCACATCAGCGATCTGAAAAACATCTCATCAGGGTTTTACTACCTGCTTGAACAAACGAGCTTTCACAGCAACTGTCCACGTCAGCCCTCTGACGATCACTCCATTGCCAAGGAATGTGCGAGACTACCTTCAGAATCGAGTGAAGTTGAAATCAGCTCAAACGGCCGGCCCAATACAGTTGCTAATGCGGATGAGAAGGAGAAGTCTCCTTCACCAACAAGAAGTAGTGATTGCTCTCTGGAGTAAGGAATTGTAGACTCAGTTCCAACTGCCATCTTTCTTCTATCCAAGTCTCAACAGAAACATCGAGAGTACTCGTGAAACGACGTTATGAAATTCGAGCAATCCAACTTACGACGGGTTTACGTCGATACTACAACAGTGTCCACTGGAGGATAATATAAGTTCAGACCCCAATTTGGGAAACAGAGGTGTTAGAGGCTGCGCCGTCAATGCTGGCCGCAATAAATTAACCAATCAACTCAATTAAAACTAGCCGGCTACGTGACCATGCCTATGGCTGCCTTACCGGGCCATAACAGTCTGTCTTGAAGAATTGATGTACGTTATATAAGTGTGTAGCGATCCGTATCATAAGTTAAACTATGGTCTTGTACGATCCATGCCAAGTGTGCTTACTGTCACTAAAAGCGTACTGATACTCATAATAATCTGAAAGTGCCAAAGCAGACCATTAGTTGTTCATTGGTGGTACCACGGACACAACGACCTTGCTCTCACATCTCCGCCGTCATATTCGATGTGACGTGAAAACCATGTACGCGAAAAAAGTTTTTACGCTTGAATTCGCGGTGACTCGTTGTCTGGTTATGTGCTAGACACATTCTTACCAAGAAGGATAGTTTAGTTGCATGAGCGCCGATTGAACTCTGTCCCCTAAATAGTGTTGGAGGCACAACTCAAAAGGCCTGCCTCTGGGCGAGGCAAGGGGGCGGTGTGATAAGTCAAGAAATAAACGTGAAATTATGCTTGTTGTGGGGGCTGCATGGTATTCAAACTGCTCTTGAAACTAAAGGATTTGCCAAGTATGTGCAATGGTGTTTTTGTGTTCGTATTGGGATGTAGACAGATCCTCAGACTTTATTACCTTCAGCAAATGAACCGGATGTCTAGCATGAGGAACTATATTTCCTTGAGGCTTGGACGAGCTCCACTAAACTAGTTCTAGCTCTGCTACATGGCACATGAGTAGATGTGATGCCAGCAAATGTTGACAAAGGACGGATGAAGAACAAATATATGCTATGTGCACGTTACTGTTTCCGGCCCAGAAAGGCACTTCACATTGTAATTTTTCTTTCATTTGTTACATACATTATTTATGTTATTTACTTCTGCATTCCTTCTGTCTTCACAATATCTCCATCTTATTCTCCACAATACTTCCTGCTTCTATGCACTCCCTCCATGCTTTTTTTGTCTGCACAATTTTTTATGGCTGGTGCTGTAGTATTCCCTGCTTCTATGCACTCCCTCCATGCCACAAAATTGCCTGGCCCTTTTGTTCTGCAGATAACATAAGCACGTGTTCTCTCTTTGCTTTGATTCCTTACATAGACACTTCGAGATTTACTGTAGTGTGGGTTTGAAGCTCTCAATTTAGTGTTGATTGTTTCTCCTTCTAAGAGGGCTTTATTTTCATAGAAGTATATATATGTTTTTTCTGATACATAAAATATACCTATTGTACTATGGGCATGCCGGTGGCATGCCTATTGACCTTGAAAGGGGGCATGGGCATGCCTCGAAAAATTTCGTTATGCCTCCAACCCTACCCCGAAAGCGGGCCCTCGTTGCAGCAGACCAACGCAGAAAATTCTAGCAATAAATCCCCGTAACAGTCAATATGATTCAGAACTGAACTCTTTTCTTGCACGGAGCAAAAAAAAAGAATACAGTTCTTGATGAAGCAACAGTTCACGTAATTGAACGTGAACCGTTGCTCCATCATTCACATATAATGAAAATCACAGTTGACATCACTCAGAGCATGATCACTTCACAAATAACACATACATATGGCTTCCATACCCACTACAGCCAGATTTCATTGACCTCCAATGAGCACATGAATCAAATATATACATTTAGAAAGATTTATTGTAATCTTATTTCAGTTTATTTGATAGTTTTAAACCTAAAATAAGACTTATATGTGATGTATTGTGGAGTATCCAAACTATCTAAATACACATAAATGCCATAGTAACAAAGCAATCACATGATGGAAAAACTTAAAATACTATTTTATTCTGATTACATAGATTCCAACCTATTGATATTTTAAGTTATCACATCGAAATTTCACTAACTTACAGTGAAGAACTCCATATAAAATGTAGTATACTCAATTATATTTTAAATAAAAGATTAGACCACAAAAACTAAAGTTTAATTTTTTTTCGTATTGTATTTTTTTTGTGTTAAAGATATATTTGCACTTTGAAAGAAATCAGTTATTCAACAATTATTCCACAATCACATTGGTAGATTGCTTGTGATTATATTGTGCTAATTAAATGATCACAATGCATATCAAGCATTTTGAATATGGGATCTAGAAAGTTCTTTTATAATAATGAATTTGATAATGAAATTTTATCATAGATGATATACAAAACACAAATTTATCACATCATCTTTTAACGTTGTGGTTAATTGAGCTTATATTCCAACATGGATTTGCAAACTTGCTAGTTTGATTAACATTTATAGAATATGCTATGATACAAGTTATAAATTTCTTAAACTTTGTAATATGCTCATGATGCAATATTTTTTTGTAAATTTTAGATTCTGATATTATCATGTTGTCATGAAATTTTTTTGAATGATAAAATGAATAAATTTCAAATTTATTGATAGATATATAAGATAGTAAATAATTGTAAATTTAAATCTTCAACATGATTTTTGGAGTAAAAAAACATAAGTGAATTAAATTAACATTGATGTGAAATTTATTAGAATAAATAATTACTTGGAAGATTTTTATTTTATTTTGTATACATCAATAAAAATAAATTTAAGATAAATATATGAGTATTTATTTCATCACTTTTAGATGATTAACTATGCCATAAAGTTAAAATTCAAGCTGATGAATGAATTGAAATAATAAAATTCAACCAATAATAATAATATCACAGGAATATAAAATACAAAATATAATATAAATCTACAAAAATATATCTAAAAAACTTAAAAAAATGTCTATCTATTGCTTATATAATCTAAAGAATCAAATCCATCTAATTTATGTGATTGAAATAATATCTTTTTTCCAAAATTGAATTATATTTGTGAAGAATAAATATCAGATTATGTATCAATTTTTGGGATTGAACTATAAACAATGAAAAATTAATTGTCATTTCAAATCAATTTCAATGAGCAAAATATGATATCAAATAAAATTTGACCAGATGATACAACTAGATTTGAATTAAGGATAAAATTTTTCACAAGATTGTTGTTTGTAAAATATTTTATCATTTTTTTATCATGTCACATCTTTTGACTTTGCTTCCTTTAGATGGTAATGTTTATAATTATTAGTTCAATAAAGTTGTAATTGAATCTTAGAATTTTAGAAAATTTGATCTATATAATTACTTCGATGATCATTGATATAATTATATTAATTGCTTCTATATAAATATCATATATAAATCATATCGACGTGGTAAAAAATTAAATTGATTGATGAAGCCAAATATCACGTGTCATAATAGAGTATGAAAAAATCATGAAAGCATTTCAAGAAATGAAAGAAAAATTTATGAGATTGGCATTTTATAGATAATGTATTTTTATTTAATAAATTTTTATAATTATGAAAAAAAATTGTTTAATGGTAATGATACAATCAATGCAGATCATATAAATATTTAGTTTCTTTTTGAAAACAATTAAGTGTACAATTGATTTTATATATTAAGCTTAAGTGTGAAATTTTATCTTAAAGTTGTGTGTTTGTTTAAGAATAAGAGCAAATAATACAAGATCATAACTTCTTTCATTGTGTTTTTCAATTTTTTTGAATTTTTCTTTAAATCTTATTTTCATCATTAATACTTGCAATTATTTTCGTTTTTTTTTTTAATTTTGGCTAATTTTTTTCAAATTAATAATTAATAATGTCAAATTTCAATTATTTTAAAAATAAACATGAAATATAAAAAATAAACCAATTTTTAATTGAAGATTATTTGACACATTTATTAATGTTAAATAATTTTTAAAATAAAATATATTTTTGAATCTTGTGAAAATTTTATATAATAATTATGTTAGTGCATTCACAATGATGTTTAGAGTTTAATGCACTGTATATACAATTGCATGTATCATGTCTTGATTCTATCAAGATTTATGAGACTTTTTAAATTTAAAATTTTCATTTAAAGTAATATTGGACAATATTTGTGTGAAACACATTCATGAATATCTATTTCAAGTCAATAAAAAGTGAATGATAACTTAAAATTGATCGAAACAATATGATAATGCTCATTGCATAACGTTACATATTTTTCTAAGATAAGTCATCATCAATTAACCAACACATATCTTGTACTAATCTCAAACACTTAATGTTTTAACACTTAGTTTTTTGATACTTATGTGATATAAAAAAAGTCAATAAAATGTTTTTCAAGTTATGAATTTCATAATATAAGAAAAATAATTCAAAGTGATGAAATATTGATGGTTAAAAAAGTTTAAATGATTGATAAAATCATAATTCAAAGAATCTCAAATAGTGTCAAATGCTATTACAAAAAGTTTCAAATGCTAGTAAATGTTAGTCTTTTGTTAGTTGGAAACTGCATCTCTTTTACTAGATGCAAGGTACGCTTGTTACTATAAAATTTCAGACTGAATTTGCTAAAAATAAAAACAATACATGATGACAATATTGTAGCGCAAAAGCGACATACTCCAATGTGCTTGTTGTTTATTCACTACCTTGGCATACATAAAATATTTAAGGTTTTTATAATTGGTGTTGATCCTGATTGAATCGTGAGCTCATTCAAAAAAAGATGTCACTCTTGGAATTAATCAATAACGGTTAAGAGTTCATTATCGTAGATATCATAATTGATCTCATAGAATTAATTTTTTTATAAATAAATCTCAAAAAAATGAAGACGTTTGTCTTTTTCAGGTTATGAAAGTTTCACTCCAATGATTTAAGTCAAAATCATATGTTTCTAGAAAGAACGGCGTCTTGAAGTCAAAATGAGTAAGAATAGATGTTGTTATACATGTCTTCTCTACGGTTTCAAATGCTTGATCTGATTTTGCATTATGCTCAAAGGTGTTTTTGTGAATTAATCTTATTAGCAAAGCACTAATTTTGAAATAGTTTTGAATGAAGATTTGATACTATTTTGCAAAACCAAGCAAGCATG